GGTCTCTTTGATAATGACAATCAATTCATATAAGATTTAGGAAGACCTGACTGCCAGGCTAAGTAGATACTTCAGTATCTTTGCCAAGAAAACCCCATGGACAGTGTTCTATAGTCCATGGGGTCACAAAGAGTCGGACATAACTGAAAGACCGAACAACACCAAACTGCCAGACTCAGGCATTTGTTAGCTATGTGACCATGGGCAAGTCACTTAATCTCTGACTTCCTCAGTTTCCTCATCTGTAAAATGGGTATATTTTAAAATTTATTTATGAGGAACCTATCTTGCCAGGGTTGTTGTAAGGATCAAATGAGATAATATTTGTAAAGTGCTTAGCACATATTGTTATTCAGTTGTTTCAGTCAAGTTCAACTCTTCGTGACTCCACTTGGGGTTTTCTTGGCAAAGATACTGAAGAGATTTGCCATTTTTTTCTCCAGTTTATTTCACAGATGAGGAAACTGAGGCAAACAGGGTTAAGTGACTTGCCCAGGGTCACACAGCTAGGAAGTGTCTGAGGTTGGACTTGAACTCAGAAAGATGAATCTTCCTGATTCCAAGCCTAGTGCCCTATCCACTGTGCAACTTAGCTGGCCTTTATAAGGCTACACTTACTAATACTTTATAACTGAGCCCACGAGTTGATGAGGACATTGAGGGAATCAGAGAGAAAGAGAGAAAGAGAAAAAGACAGAGAAACAGAGACAAAGAGAGTAATACATGTGTATTGAACTGTACTGACTGAAGCTAACTGAGCATCAGGAAAGACATCCTAACCCTTTGGTCATATAGCCTGGGAGAACGAGGCCTGCCCCAAACTAGGAGAAACTTAGCTGCCAGAGAATGACACATTCAAATGGGCTTGACCAAAGATGATGAGCATATCCAAGAGACTCCAAAACTCAAATAATACATTACACTTGTTCAACCTAATTTCTAAAAATTCTTGACAGTCTTTCTTCTAAAAACCTGTCTAGAGCAGAGGTTCTTAATCTCTTTTGTGTCATGACCTCTTTGGCAATCTGCAGAAATCTATGAACTCATCCTCAGGATAAAATTTTTAAATGTACAAATAAAATCCACAGGACTACTAAGGAAACCGATTACATATTAAAATGAAGATGTTACGATTTTCCTACTCAAGTTCATTGACTCCCTGAAATCTACATAGGGATTCCTTAGGATTATGTGAAACTCCTGAGAAAAACCTACAGTGAAGCCCCATCTACTCCATCCAGGTAACTAAGCATTACCAGGGCCAGCTCTAAAGAGAACAGATGTGGAAAGGAAAAAATGACATGTCACACTGATCCTCTGCTTTAAGGTTTACAACGTGCTTTCCTCACAACCAACTGAGTAAGGTAGGCAATGGAAGGATCATTAGCCCCATTTCACTGATGAGAGAAATGAGATCAGAAAGCTTAGGTAATCTGCTCATGATCACAGAGCTAGTAAATGTGATACTTGGCTCTTGAATCTGGGCATGGAGTGCAAGCCCAGAACTCTTTCTATCACCCTTCCACTGCCCTGCTAATGTTCTGTTGCCTCAGGTAGCAAAAATTCAGATAAGGAGGCAAGATGCTATAGAGTGGGGGTGGATCAGGGTGCTATACTTTAGGGGGAAAAAAACCTATTTTACTTGGATGAAAAGTGGGACACCAGATTAGAGAGGATGCTAAGATAAGTACAGTGAATTCATGTTGAGTTTGGAGTACTTTGGAGGTATGTTACATTATGCTGTGGGCAGATATGCTCATCATCTTTGGTTAAGCTAACAACTTTGTCGATCTTTGGCAGATAAGCTTCTCCTCTCTCTCTCTCTCTCTCTCTCTCTCTCTCTCTCTCTCTCTCTCTCTCTCTCTCTCTCTCTCTCTCTCTCTCTCTCTCCTCTCCCTCCCTCCCTCCCTCTCTCTCTCTCTTTTTCTCCCTTGTCTCTCATCCTGAAGCCTGGGTTACAGTAACAAAATTACCCTATTTGTGTACCCTTCTTATTTTCTTTCTGTTCTCTTCTGTGTATATTTTATTGACATTCTTTCCTTCCTTCCTTCCCTTTTTTTCCTTCTTTCATTTGGTGCCTCTGTTACCACGCCACTAACTTACCTGACCCCTACAGAACCCCTTCCTTGTAAAAAAATAAATAAACATAGTGAAGGAAAACATATCAGCCAGATCTCAAAAAACCTTATAGCTTGGAATGCATTCTTTATGGTTTGTTTCTGCTTCATTTAGAAAGTAATACACAATGAAGCCTTTTGGGAACATGATCTCTATTTGTTCATACAGATATACCCCTCGAGTATAAATTCATCGGAGTACAATATAGACTTGGACAATGTCCATGGTGGATCTTGGAGCCCAGATCCTCTTATTTTGCAGATGAGGAACTGAGGGAGGACCAGAGAGATTAAGCATTTTACTCAAATTCACATAGGCAATAGGTGCCAGAACTGGGATTTTAACTTGGGTCCTCTTATTCTAAAGCAAACATGTCTACGACTGTACCATATTTTCTCAGCTAAGTGGCCCATGGATAGAGTGCTGGGTCTGGAGTCTGGAAGACCTGAGTTCAGATCCAACTAAAACACTTACTAGATGTGTGACCTTGGGCAAGTACAACCTCTGTTTGCCTCAGTTTCCTCAACTGTCAAATGAGGCTAATAATAACACCTACTTCCCAGGTTGTTGTGAAGATCAAATGAGATAATATTTGTAAAGCACTTAGCACAGTGCCTAGCACATAGTGTGCTCATTATAAATGCTTACCCCCTCTCCTCCACACCCCCTTTCCTCTATTAATGCTCTGCTCTGATACCTCAGGATAAAGAGCTGACCCTGGATTCTCAAAGGCCATGTTCTTAGAGTGCAAAGTTTAGCAGATTGTGTAAGGCTGGAAAAGGTTTGAGGAAAAGTCTAATGACTAGTTATGTGTTTGTCTTGGACAGCCAGCCTAGCTTAATGTGTAGAGGCTCTTTCTGCAGAAATGAACTTTTTTTGGCCATTAACAGCTCATAAAACCATTTACTTTAAATTTACCCTTTATATATTTTGTATATACATAATTGTTTACATTTTAGAATATGAGCTTCTTGAGAGCAGGGTATGTGTGTTTGCCTTTCTTTGTATCTCCAGCCTGGCACATAATAAAATGGTTAATAAATGCTTGTTGACTTGACTTTACAAAAGTACCAGAGGGGTTGTGATCTGACTTAAGGGGTGCTCACGCTGACAAAAATTACAGATCTCCTGAAGTGTTGAAATGAGCCTTAACACCCACAAATAAGTCACCTATGGGTGACTTCTGGGTGCGGTTAACCACACACACCCATGGAAAAAGTTATGGGCAACATAAGGAAGAGGCCAAGCAGTAAAATCTGACTCTTTAGCATTTCTGTGCATGTGTGGTCTAGTGGAAATTATTCCATTTAGTTGTTTTTACATCCTGTAGGAATGAAATTAAAATTTTGATGTAATGTTTGACTATATCCAAGCACTGTTATCATATTGTATTATCTTCTTCAGGAAGGCATAGCATTTCATATTTAATTTTAAAATGAGACTAAGTAACCATCTGCTAATGTGGTATAACTCTGCAACATTTGTTAAAACAAGTGTATAGGTTAGAATGTGTATAAGCAATATGTGAATCTTCACTGGAAAATTTTTAAATTAATATATTTATTAGATTTAATACAATTAAATCTAAATGTATAAAACCCAAATTATAGATCTAAATCTAAATCATAATTATATACATATATAATTAATACCAAATTATGTAATACTGAATTACATAATTAAATTTTGCTGACACATAGAGCAACTAGGTGGCACAATGGATAGAGTACTGGGCTTGGAATCAGTAAGACTCATCTTCATGAGTTCAGATCTGGTCTCAGACATTAGCTGTGTGACCAGAGGCAAATCACTTAGCCCTGTTTGCCTCAATTTCTTGATCTGTAAAATGAGCTGGAGAAGGAAATGACAAACAAGTCCGGTATCTTTCCCAAAAAAACTCCCAAATGGTGTCACAAAGAGTCAGACATGACTGAAAAGACTCAACAATAACAACGGTTAGCAAAATAGAAGGCATAGCATTAAATTTTGGAAAACACTGATGCCCGCCATGACTCACCTTGTCATGGGCACTAGTGGCACTTATAGGGCAGCCTGAACGTCATGGGATCTGGAAGTGAAGGAGAGTGGAGTCGTCTCTCCAAATGAGAGTTTGGCCTTTTCATGTGAATGTTAAAGTTAAGTGATTCTATATCAACTTATCAGGAGAATTCTAGAACTAAAGGTATTTTTTACTGTGATATAGTGGAAATCAGGCTGGACTTGGAATCAGGAATCCTGGTTTCCAGTCTTGGTTCCTATAAATACTGGTTGTGTGACCACTGGCAGATCATGCCATCTTCCCAAGCCTTAGTATACACATCTTTAAAATGGGGATAAAACTACCTGTACAACTTATTTCAAGGGGTTGTCATGAAGAAAGTGCTTTGTAAACCTTAATGCACTGCTATTACAAGTGAGCTATTACTAGCTAGAGTGGATATGTGGGATGAGTTTGTGAACATTATAGGCTTACTGTACATTTTCAAAAATGGCCATCTTTTTAAAAGTATAAGCATTCAAGTTCTACCTGTGTCATACACTAACTATGTGACCATAGGTTACTTTCTTAACCTCTTGGTGCTCTAAGACAAAGAGATCCAGAGGAATTCTAATCTGCATTAGTAAAGGGAGTTTATACACTAGCATGTCTCTATGTTGATAAAATCACAGGTTCAGAGCTGCCCCCCTAAGACAAAAATACAGATAGACTAAATGAGTGAATAGAGTTGATAAAACTATAACACATATATCAGGCAAAAGTTTGGGGTGAGTGTGTATAAGGATGTTTTTATCAAGTTTTCCCCAGAAAATAATAATGGAACTCCAGGATGATGACATGGAGGAGGTACAGCCATTCTTGGCTGTCACAATGAGGGACTTACTCCTGCACGTTTTCTTATCTGGGTTCAGGTTAAATCCTTTCAGGCACCGACAGGAATAAGAATCCTCTGTATTAACACATTCATGCTGGCAACCATGGTTAAGGGAAGCACAATAGTCCAACTCTGATTAAAAAAAAAAGAAAAGAAACAATGACTTTGACTTAGGAAAACCAAATGATACCCAGCAATAGCTCTTTCCTTGTTTTACAGGTAAAATTCTAAGATGGTAATATTTTGGGTGTTTATTCCTCCTCTCTTCCTTCTCCCTTCTTTTTTTGAGAAGAATTCAATAGGTAAAACACACATTCTGTTATTTGTTTCTCCTTACCAGATCTAACCTGGGCTCTCTGTGATCCCTCCTCCTTATGTCTCTTCCTGCCCCCATATCTACCTACACTCTCTTGACTCTTTGACTCTGTATCCACCCCTTTTCTCATGGTCAGCACCTGAATGCTGTCCATGGTACATATGGGTCTGGGCGTAGGGAGCTAATGCCAAGTGGTAGAAGCAATATGTTCTTGCAATAGCTGCATACTTTTCCTCACCATGTTTCCTAGAACTACAGGTAATCTGGCCTGACCTCTCTATATGCCCACATAATTATTCTAAGATATCAGCAAGGAATGCAAGCCTCAGTTGTATTTGTGACAGCTGCTATTCCAGCTTGTTGGGAGAGTTTCCTCAGTGTTATGTTGTATTGTGGCAAACAAACTTTTAATAGAATTGCATATCAATGAAAAGTCTAATATTCCTCCACTTGGTGGCCAGTCCATTTCAACAAAGTTATTTATATAAAGAACTTAGCAAACTTTAAAGCATTATAGAAATGTGACCTGTTATTATTATTGTTGTTATTGTTGTTGTTCTTTGGTGTGTCAGTTTATTTTGTTTCTTGTAAGGCTTTGTGTGTCTGTGGGGAAGGGAGCTCTTTTTGGGGATCTTTTTTAATGCTAAGATGGAAGGATGTGGAAGGAACAGAGTGGATCAATATCCCAGAAGGTCTAGCCTATGATGCTTACTGGCTAAGTGCTAGACAATCTCTAGGTTTGTGAATGAACCTTACTTCCCTGAGGCTCCACCTATAACCATAGTAAGAAGCAAAATCATTCTTTCTTCCTTCTTAAATCTCTCCCTCTTCACTGTTGCCTACAAAATCAACTTGAGAGAGGAAACAAGGCTGAAGATAGATTTGGTAATTAACTGTATAGAGGTGAGAGTTGAAGCAGCAGGAGAAGATTTCATCACCAAGCAAGAGCTATAGTGAGAGAGCAGAAAAGGGATGAGGGCATCAAACTTTTGGGGACACCTATATTAACATGAAGGAAAGAAGAAAAGACAATGAAGTAGACAGAGAAGGAGAAGTCAAAGATCTAGGTAAACAGGAAACCTTCTGTCATGGAAGCCAAAGGATACTGTTGAGAAGAAAGAGGGATGGTCCATAGTGTTAAATAGTATAGGGAGGTCAAGGAGGATGACAATTGAAAAAAAAAACACCATTTAACTTGGCAACAAGGAGAATACCAGTGGCTTTTTAGGAGGAAATGTCAGTAGAATGGTGGGGACAGAAGTCAGATTAAAAATGGATTGAGGAATGAGTGAATGTCAAGGGAATGAATGTAGGAAGTATAGATCATTCTTTCAAGAAGTTCAGCAATGAAAGGGAAAATGGAGGTGGAATGAAAGCCAGAGGAATTAGAAGACTTAAGGGGCAATTTAAAATGTTATTATTATTTAGGATAGGGGATACTTGCAAGAAATGATAGAGTCAGACAGAGAGTAAGGAACCAATAAAGAGGGAAAGATTAAAGGTTTCATAGAGAAGAGGGGATGATTAATGGAATGAAGACCCAGAGAAAATAGAAGAAAGGCATCATTCTTGAATCTAAGTTTTTTATCTGTCCTCTTCCTCTCTTGTAGAGTGTCTTTTCCTTTCTTCTTCATCTATCCAGAACCTATCCCTCTTTCAAAGCCCAACTTGAGAGTCATGCCTAATCATATTTTATATATAAGTGAGTTTTCAAGCTTGATAAAATTCTTTCATATCTATTTTCTTATTCAATCACTTGTTTGTTTTTTATTTGATCAGCATCACTGTGAACTAGTAAGGCAAATACTACTTATGTCCATTTTATAGACTAAAAAGCCATGGTACAGAAAGGTAAACTTCCCAAAGTAGTAAAGCTAGCTAGTGGTCATAAAGGAACTAGATAGAAGATGGGTTTCCTGACTCCTAGTAGTGTATACTGCTGGCCTAGCTTCTTCCCCCAGGTTTCTTTTCCACAAGACCTTCTCTGACCACTCCAACCAACTCTGATCTCCCTTCTCCCTAAAGGCCTGTAGAACTCAGTGTCATTATCATTCTTTTGTTTTTGGTTGTTGTTGTTGGTTGTTCTTGTTTTTTAAAAAATTTATTTATTTTTAGTTTTCAACATTCACTTCCACAAGATTTTGAGTTCCAAATTTTCTCCCCATCTCATTCCTCCCCCCACCCCCAGATGGCATGCATTCTGTACACCTCTTCCTCTAAGCTGCCCTCCCTTATATCTCTCCCCCCTTCTCTTATCCCCTTCCCCTTCTATTTTCCTGTAGGGCAGGATAGACTTCTATACCCCATTTCCTGTATTTCTTATTTCCCGGTTGCATGTGAAAATAATTTTTTTAACATGTGTTTTTAAAGCTTTGTGTTCCAAATTTTCTCCCTTTCTCCCTCCCCATCCACCCTCATTGAAAAGGCAAGCAACTTGATACAGGTTATACATGTGTAGTCATGCAAAACACTTATATAGTAGTCATGTTGTGAAAAACTCTTATTCTATTCTCTCTTTTGACCCTGTGCCTTCTCAGAAGTATTTGCTTCTGATTACCCCCTCCCCTAATCTGCCCTCCCTTCTATCATCTCCCTGCTCTCTTATCCCCTTCCCCCCCCTATTTTTCTGTAGGGTAAGATAATTACCATACCCAAATGAGTGTGTATGTTATTCCCTCCTTAAACCAAATCCAATGAGAATAAGATCCACTCATTCCCTCTCACCTTCCCCTGTTTCCCCTCCACTGTAAAAGCCTTTTCTGTTTTATGCGTGCTAATTTACCCCATTCTACCTCTCCCTTTCTCCTCCTCCCAGTATAATCCTCTCTCACCCCTTAATTTTATTCTCCAGACATGACCCCTTTATCTTCAACTCATCCTATGCCCTCTATCTATCTATCCACATACATACAATTTTTTCCCTCCAATTACCCTAATACTGACAAAGGTCTCATGAGTTACAAATATCATCTTTCCATGCAGGAATGTAAACAGTTCAAGCTTAATAAGTCTCTTATGATTTCTCTTTCCTGTTTACCTCTTCATGTTTCACTTGAGTCTTGTATTTGAAAGTCACATTTTCTATTCAGCTCTGGTCTTTTCATCAAGAATGTTTGAAAGTCTTCTATTTCACTGAATGACCATTTTTTGCCCTGAAGGATTATACTCAGTTTTGTTGGGTTTTCTTGATTGTAATCCTATCTCCTTTGCCCTCCGGAATATCATATTCTATGCCCTGCGGTCCTTTAATGTAGAAGCTGCTAAATCTTGTGTTATCCTGATTGTGTTTCCACAGTACTTGAATTGTTTCTTTCTGGCTGCTTGTAATATCTTCTCCTTGACCAGGAACTCTGGAATTTGACTACAATATTCCTAGGAGTTTTCCTTTGGAGATCTCTTTCAGGAGGTAATTGGTGATTCTTTCAATTTCTGTTTTGCCCTCTGGTTCTAAAATGTCAGGGCAGTTTTACTTGATAATATCTTGAAAATGATGTCTAGGCTCTTTTTTTGATCATGGCTTTCAGGTAGTCCAATAATTTTTAAATTCTCTCTCCTGGATCTATTTTCCAGGTCAGTTGTTTTTCCAATGAGATATTTCACATTGTTTTCTAATTTTTCATTCTTTTGGATTTGTTTTACAGTGTCTTGATTTCTCATAAAGTCACTAGCTTCCAATTGCTCTATTCTAATTTTTAAGGAAGTATTTTCTTCATTAATCTTTTGGACTTCTTTTTCCATTTGTCCAGTTCTGCTTTTTAGGGCATTCTTCTCCTCATTGGCTTTTTGGACCTCTTTTGCCATTTGGGTTAGGCTATTTTTTAAGGTGTTATTTTCTTCAGTATTTTTTGGGTCTCCTTTAGCAAGCTGTTGACTTGTTTTTCATGATTTTCTTGCATCACTCTCATTTCTCTTCCCAGTTTTTCCTCTACTTCTCTTACTTGTTTCTCAAATTCCTTTTTGAGCTCTTCCATGGCCTGGGACTGATTCATATTTTTCTTGGAGGCTTTGGATGTAGGAGCTTTGACTTTGTTGTCTTCTTCTGGTTGTATGTTTTGATCTTCTTTGTTACCAAAGAAAGATTCTGTGGTCTGACTTTTTTTTGGACCTTTGTTTATTCATGATCCCAGCCAATTATTTGAGTTTTAAATTCTTTGTTAAGTAAGGTAGAGGTCTGCTTCCAGTGTGGAGAATGTACTGTCTTAAGCTGTTTTCAGAGATACTTCTAGGGATCTGTAAATTTTCAGTTCTTCCAAGGTGGTATGATAAGGGCAAGGTATTTACTCCTTTCCTGGCCTATGCTCTGGTCTGTGACTGACCACAAGCATTCTTTTCTGCCTTGGAACTGTGAGGAGGATTCCTCTGTACCACCAGTACAAGCTCCACCATGCTAGCACTTCTCCTTGCCCCAGGACTGCCACTCAGAACTGTGACCCAGATCCAAGCACTTGCAAAGCAAGAGAATTCTGTACTAGCAGAGAGATCCCTGCAATCCCTCTCTGATCAGCCACTCAATGCCCCCTCACTCTGTGGGCCGGAAGCTCCAGAATCAGCTGCTGCCCGCAGGCCGAGCTATGGACTGGGGCTGAGATCACGCTTCTCTCTCTCACTGCAGTCACAGACTTTCCCCACTGACTTTCTAAGTTGTCTGGCGTTCATGGGTTGAGAAGTCTGGAAACTGCCACAGCTACCTGCGATTCATTCCTCTGAGCCCTGCTCCAGGTTCACTGAGGCCTGCCTTTCCTGTGCGCTGATGCCAAACTGCGCTCCTCTCCCGACTCTTTGAGATATATCTTTCTGATCAACCAGCCAGGCTGTCTTGGGCTGGAAATTTGTTTCACTCTGTATTTTTTATGGGTTCTGCTGCTTTAGAATTTGTTTAGAGCCATTTTTTGCAGGTAATTGGAGGGTTTTCGGGGAGAGCTCAAGCAAGTCACTGCTTTTATTCTGTCATCTTGGCTCTGCCCCCCATTATCATTCTTTTTGACACTTGGTCATATGCAGCCTTGGAAAATTTATGGTTTCATTGGTGTCTATATTATATCATAAACTGAATTTTAAACTCTTGGAAAACAGAAACTATGTCTTACATTTGCTTTACCTTTCTGTCATACTTAGCATAGTGTCATCAAAAGAATGAATTAATTCAAATTCATATTCAAAATTAATTCAGCATCTTCAGTTGTAAGGTATTGAATCAATTAACTAGTTGGTCAGTATGTATTCAGTTAGGTGTATATCAATCTATCTAATCTATCTATCTATCTATCTATCTATCTATCTATCTATCTATCTATCTATCTATGCTATCACCCTGATTAGACAGAATTACAGATAAAGAATGCCTGCACACCAATACTACAGCCAAATTCCTTCTTTCTGTCTATAGCCCTGCCATTTTATAGCAGCTGGAGCTGCAGGGAAGATATTGGCAGGTGGACAGAGCAAAAGAAGGAAATTGATGACCAGCAGCTCATCTCTACTGTAACTATCCATCCAGCTGTGTCCTTCACTCCCATGCTGCCCCTAATCCTGGCGCCTGCTCGTAGTGGACATAAGAGAAACAGAAGAACATCAAGAAGGTTAAGTATTGGAATTCTTTTTTGTTTGTTTTAGTTGCATGTGTGTTTCTAAGTACTGGATTCCTAGTTTCTGTAATAAATGTTTATGAAAAGTTTTGTAAAGTCATTTAAAAAAATAAATTGAATCCCATTTTCTCAGAGCTTATATTTCAGAATTACTTTATCTTCATCTAAAAATTAATCTTTAGTTGGACCCTAACATGTGAGTTTTAAGCCTCTTAGTCAAAGAAGTAAACAAACACTCATGTGCAATAAAGAACTCTATATTTACAATAACATGCTGTTAGTTCTTTTGAAAAGTGGAGTGACCACTTCTTAATTTAGATTTTTTTAAAAAAAATTTACATTTGGGTATATTGGGCTTTCCTTCCTTTTCCCCCTCTTTCTTTCTTTCTCTCCTCCCTCGGTCCCTCCCTCTCTCCCTTCCTTCCTTCCTTCCTTCCGTCATTCCTCTGTCCCTCCCTCATTCCTCCCTTCCTTCCTCTCTTTATTCCTTGACACTGGGTCTCCCTATCTTACCCAAACTGCAAGCAGTGACCACTTGTGGCTGATCCTATTGTTGATTTGCCCTGCTTTCTTTCTGACCTGGGCTGTTTTCGTTCTCTTTATATGCAGCTTGGGGACTCTTCCCGCGGCGTTCCTCCCAGGAGCTCACTACAGTGGTGCCAGACAGTGTGGGTACTGGACCGACATAAGCCCTACTGTAGCTTAGAACTCTTGAGCTCAATCGATCTACCAACCTCAGGTTCCCCAGTAGCAGGGATTACAGATGTATACCACCATGCCTGTCTTATATCAGGCTCTCTTAAAGTATGACACTCCCGGACCTATGTGGATGGATTCTTTAATACACCATCTCACAACGTTCCAATGAAGATTTTTTAAAAAATTAATCCAATAAATGGTAAGTATATAGTTATGTTAGCACCAAATGACATGTCAGGGTCTATTTGGGAGGAAGGTAGGATCCTCCCCTCCATGTATAGTTCTTTTATGGAAAATGACCTTTCTGATTCTCCACAGCATAAATCTTGGAAAAGACTAGGATAACTTGTCAAAGTCAAGAAAGGGTGGTAATTAAGATATAATAGGAGAGGAAGAGTTTAATAAAATCCTACGGAAAATCAAAGGTTAATTTGGCATTGAGAGACTTCAATGCCCAAAGCCACCTAATATCATCAGAATGCCACATTTTGTAACTTACTATTGCATGTTCTTTTATCTGGGTTAAGAGCAAATCCTTTATGGCATCTGCAGAAATAGGAATTATCAGCATTTACACACTCATGTTCACAGCCATGGCTTTCTGAGGCACAGTAATCCACAACTATAGAGAAAAGAAAAATATTCAAAGTTAAATTAAAAATGAAATCAAAGATAGCTAATACACATGCACCATCTATAAGAATAAAACAATACCAACAATAACTTATGTTCACCATTGTTTATAACTAACTCATATTTCCGTTGTTTACATAGCTATGGTTTATAAGGTATTTTTCCACAGCCACCCTGTTTGGTAGATAATGTAGATATTATAACCCTCATTTTAATATGAGGACACTGAAGTTCAGGGAGGAGAAGTGGAGGAGAAGATATCATTGTATTGCTGAGAAGACTTAAGTTATTCATAGTTGGTCATCGCACGATGTTGCTGATATGGTGTACAGTGTTCTCCTGGTTCTGCTCACTTCACTTTGCATCAGTTCATGTAAGTTTTTGCAGGTTTTTCTGAAATCTGTCTGCTTGTCATTTCTTATAGCATGATAGCATTCCATTACATTCATCATATATCACAACTTGTTCAGCCATTCCCTAATTGATGAGCATCCCCTCAATTTACAATTCTTTGCCACCACAAAAAAGAGCTATTATAAATCTTCTTGTACAAATAGGTTCTTTTCCTTTTTGTTTTGATCTCTTTGGGATACAGATTTAGTAGTGGTATTGCTGGACCAAAGGGTATGCACAGTCTGATTGTCCTTTGGGCATAGTTCCAAATTGCTCTCCTGAATGGTTGAATCAGTTCACAACTCCATTAACAATGCATTGCTGTCTCAATTTTCCCACATCCCCTCCAACATTTGTCATTTTTCTTTTCTGTCATGTTAGCCAATCTGATTTGTGTGAGGTGGTACCTCAAAGTTGTTTTAATTTGCATTTCTCTAATCAATAGTGATTTAGAGCATTTTTTATATGACTACAGATAGCTTTGATTTCTTCTTCTGAAAACTGTCTGTTCATATCCTTTGACCATCTGTCAGTTGGGGAATGACTTGTAGTCTTATGAATTTGACTCAGTTCTCTGTTTATTAAAGGGGAAGAGAAGGGAACAAATATTTATTAAGTACCTACTATGTACCAGGTATTGTATTAAGCACTTTACAAATATTATCTCATTTGATCCTCACAACCTTGGGAGGTAGGTGCTATCCTTATTCCCCTTTTACATTTGAGGAAATTGAAGCAGACAGAGATTAGTGGCTTGCCAAGGGTCATACAGATATTAAATGTCTAATCTGAACTTGGATTTTCCTGGCTTTAGGTCCAGTCCTCTATCTACTATGACATCTAGCTGCTAAGAAAATTGACTCACCTATGGTTACACAAATACTGTCAGTGCTTGGATTCCAACTCAGGTCTCATGACTCCAGATCCAGTCCTCTTTCTAGTATACCAAGTTACCAAAAAGATAATACTGTATTTGACATATTAATCAACTAGTTTTGCAAATGTGATGGCTAAACAGTCAAAAGGACAATAAATTATATTTTTTCTATTCCTCCCAGGCTAATTAATGGATTTTTAAAGAACATAATTTTGATATTCTAAGACTCCTTAAGTATGAAAAGTTCTAATATTCATTTGTTCAGTCAACAAACTATTAGGTTGGGAACAAAACACCCACGTAGTCCTAATCTCTCAATGTACTTCTCTTCATGGGACATCAGCCAATTGCTAGAGTTTAGCCATAACAAAAACACTGAGATAGGAACCAAATCCTAACACAAGCCAACTTCTCATCTTTCAGATGCCATTGAATTGTTTTAATTTTCTTTAGCATAATCATTAATGAGAACATCCAGTAGCATCTTGACCAGGAGTTGGCAGCCCATGGCATATATACTGAAATTTACATGCAGGCTAGTATTCATTGGCATGAAGGGCAGTTGCCACAGACATGTTGATGCAAGAGCTGGCAGTCAATACACATTTCCCAATTTTATGCCCCTGAATTCTCTTAGAGCATAGAATTTTGAGATGGAAAGGCCTTTAGCAATCTTCCAATTTATATTTTACAGAAGACAGAACTGATAGAATGACCTGTCCAAGGTTACATAGGTGGTAAGGGGTAAGAGGCAGGATTTGAATGTAGGTCCTTTGAGCAACTTGAAAAAGACAGAAGCAAAAGGGGTTAAAGCCTTGATGTTTACTAGATCTATACCCCAAAGAGAACAAAGAAGGAGAAAAAGGACTAAAATATTCATAGCAGCTTTTTTCATGGTGGTAAAGAACTGGAAACTGAGGGGGTGCCCATCAGCGGGGGAATAGATGAACAAGTTATGATATGTGTATGTGATGGAATGTCATTATGCTGTAAGAAATTATGGGGGTAGCTAGGTGGCACAGTGGATAGAACTCCAGCCTTGAAGTAAGGAGGACCTGAGTTCAAATCTGGCCTCAGACACTTGACACTTAGTAGCTGTGTGACCCTGGGAAAGTCACTTAACCCCATTGCCTAGCCAAGAAATTAAAAAAAAGGAGTATTTGGGGCAGCTAGGTGGTGCAGTGGATAGAGCACTGGCCCTGAAGTCAGGAGGACCTGAGTTCAAATCCGGCCTCAGACCAAACACTTGACACTTACTAGCTGTGTGACCCTGGGCAAGTCACTTAACCCAATTGCCTTAAAAAAACCCAACTATATATATATATATATATATATATATATATATATATATATATATGAAGGGGATGCTTTCAGGAAAACCTAGGGAGACTTATATGAACTGATACAAAGTGAAGTGAGCAGAACCAACATAACAGTTTACACAATGACAATAATACTGTAAAGACAAACAACTTTGGAAGATTTGGAAGCTCTGAGCAACATAGTTAAAACCAACCACAGTTCCAAAGGACTTTTGATGAAATGTGATAACCAATTCCAGAAAGAGAGCTAACAGACTCAAGAGTGCAAATTGAAGCTTATTTGGTGTGTGTGTGGGGGGAAGGAGATATGGCTAATTTAAGATTTTTAAAAAATTGACTACCATATTTGTAACAGATTTTTAATTTTTCTTGCTTTCTCAATGGATGGGGAGGGAGGGGAGAAAGAATTTGGAACTGAACATTTTAAAAACTGAATTAAAAATTTTGATTCTGTAGCACTTTTGAAAGGTTGTAGGGCTGAATTATATCTTTTGTCTATATTTGAGAGTCATTTACTCTTAACTCCCAGGGTACTAGAATTCTAAGGTGTGCAGCAGGCCTACATTACTTCAACACAGGGAAAATAAGAGCTTTTGAAACCCAATGGAGCAATGATACATCCAGCCCAAATGTCCTTTTTTTTTTTTGCGGGGGGTACCTCTTGGGTACCCTATACAACTTCATTTGGTCGAAGAAATTATACTCTTAAAAACAGAGGTGTGCAAAGGCAGTATAGAATAATGATAGATAGAGAGTCAAGAAGAAGTAGATTCAAATTCCATCCCTGACTCATACTGTCTATGGGATCCTAAACAAAGCTCTTTTTATCTCAGCTCCCCAAGCAACTCCCTAAGGCTGTAAGTTGCAGAGGAGGTACCAGTTTGAATTAGAAAAGGGAGTTTCCTCATTAAAATTCCCTATAATAATAAAATCTCTACTATTGTAAAAATAAAAAAAAAGAGGAGTAACTAAGGCCTGGTTGGGGAGGAGAGGGCTAGGAGGATGGAAGTGCATAGTAATCTTCACCTAGAACTCAGCAATGACTGTTTTTTCTCAAGTTTCATTCCAGTTCCAAAAAAAAAAAATCGGTCCTTACGTAATGTTCTCTTGAAGTTTATAGTGCTTTCCACAGGACCCAGGAGTCTAATTTCTCAGCTATTATATTCCAGCTCTCCTGACTACAAAGTCATAAGCACACAGAGAGTGGAACCATAGTTTCTATTTTTGGTCTCTGACCGACTTGAAAGAAACCATTTCATAAGGAGCCAGTAGCTGTCTATAAAGATAAAGGCTACTTAAGTGCTATATAATGAAAAGTAGAGATTTATAGCTCTTGATTTAAAATCTGTCTACACTCTGAGGGTTTTCTATGATGGAACAGTCTGCAATGTGGATGATATTGAGCAGAAACAGGTTATTTTTAGGAGGAAGAGACATATTGTTAACATCTGGCAGTACCCAGAGATCAAAAGCCAAGTCTGCTGTTGAGAGAAGTTACAGATAAAATGACTTCCTCAGCAAACACACATGCTCACACAGATGTACAAAGACACCTGCACACCTATACAACCCTGCTTTCCCCATCCCCAAAATTGCTTTATTCAGAAATGGCAAGTTTAGTAAAAGGGTTTCATGTTGATGCTGGTTATATTATTCCAGGAGTTCTCCATCTTCTTTAAAGTCATGGACCCCTTTGAAGGTCTGATGAAACCTACGATTTTCTTAGGCTAATAGTTACAAATGAATAAAATAAAATACATATGATATTAAAGGAAACCAAAGATTAATGGGGAAAAAAAGGATTTAATAGTTTCCCTATCCAGTTTCACAGATCCCTGGAAATCTGCCTATAGATACTCTGAAAATAATATTAAAAAAGAAGCTAGGCTATTTCACATTTGAGTTGTTTGTTCTTACACTTCAGTATTCTAATGACAGCCCAAAAGTGTACATGGTATTTAATTGGCCAGTCCTACCTCAAAGGGTTTTTGTGAGCCTCAAATGAGACATTATATATGTAAAACACTTTGCAAACTTTAAAGCATTATGTAAATGTTAGCTAGTACTACACATGCCTCTATTTTATGGTGTATTGTTTATCCTCCAAGAAAGAAACTATGTGTATGTGTGTGTGTGTGTGTGTGTGTATGTGTGTGTATGTGTATGTGTGTGTGTGTGTATTGTGTATAGGATACTAGGTAGTGTGTGTGTATACATATATATATATATATGTATATGCATACACATATACATATGTATATACATATATATATATATGTATATGCATACACATATACATATGTATAGTAGAGAGAATACAGACACACTACTAGGAGCTTAGAGGGATTCCAAAAAAAAACACACCACAATTTCTACCCTTAAAAGAACATGTCTAAT